CCTGTCTGAATTGATGATTTATTGATGGGTTTTGATTGATTTTTGGTGTGATCGTGGTTTTGTATTCATGGCTTTGTGAATTTTAGGTCTTTTTGTTATGCGGAATTGAATTTTAGGGCAGTATGGAGGATTTGGGTACTATGTCGGTTTTGTGAATAAGATCTGTGCAGTTGATACTGTTGATTGAAAAATTGATGCCTATTGTCTGACTTTGAAAGATGATTGCGCCTAGGTCATGGGAGCTTCAAGAGTTGCTGCAGGGGAGTTTCCTGAGCGAGTGGGCCAGCCCATCTGTCAGGTACTGGTTTAAGTTTGTTTCAGGCATTTCGACAGTTGCAGTCACTGCATGCTAAAGATAGAAAATTAATGTGCATTTCCTAAATTCTTCTAGATATCTTTATGTTGTTTCACTGTATGGGTTCCATGGTAGAGTCTGGTGAAATGTATTGAATTAATGCATTTTGCTTCAGTTTGACAATCTACAAAATTGGCAAGTTACAGTTCTTTTGTTGGTTGGTTCATATGCAGTATTATATGAGGATGGGAACTTGTAAATTTGGTGCTTCCTGTAAGTACCACCACCCTAGGCAGGGAGGTGGTTCTACTAGCCATGTGACACTAAATCATTATGGGTACCCCTTACGTCCGGTTTGTATATTTAGCTATCTGCTTAATTTCACTGAAGCCACATTTGCTCAAATCTATACTTAACAATTGAGTTCTTCCCAATAACAGGGTGAAAAAGAGTGCTCTTACTATATGAAGACAGGCCAATGCAAGTTTGGTACAGTGTGTAAATTCCATCATCCTCTACAAGTGCCTTCTCCAGTTCCTCAAGCTGCACCCATTCCTTCCCCTGTACCTCCATCTGGACTATACTCACCAGTGCAATCGCCAGCAGGTCCTTCCTCTCAACAATATGGGGTACTAGTGGCAAGGCCTTCTCTGCTGCCAGGCTCATATGTTCAAGGCCCATATCCTATGCTGTTCACCCCTAGTGTGGTTCCTGTTCCAGGCTGGAACCCTTATCCGGTAGGTTAATTAAAGCTTCTTGCACCCAATGTTAAGTCAATGTATATAACAACTTTGTTGAAGTATGCTTGTGATTCAGGCACCAGTTAGTCCTGGTACTCAACCAACTGTTGGATCAAGCTCAATTTATGGGATGCCACCGTTATCTCCTTCTGCACCTGCCTATACTGCAGCTTACCAATTTTTACCCTCTAGCATTGGTCCATCAAGTAGCAGCCAAAAGGAATCCTCATTTCCAGAGAGACCAGGCCAACCAGACTGTCTGTATTACATGAAAACTGGTGATTGTAAATTTGGATCCTCATGTAGATATCATCATCCGCCAGAAGTGGTTGCACCTAAAACAAATGTTGCTCTCAGCCTCATGGGTCTTCCCCTGCGCCCAGTAAGCATCTACTAACAATTCTTTCCATTTGATGCTTTAAATGAGGGTCTTAAATTTGATAAATATATTTAGGACTTTCAAATGCTAGAGTGAATCAAAATAAGTTTTTATGCATAGTTGCTTTTCTAGATTGACTGTAGAACAATGATTTGTGTGTGCCATTTATGTTTCTTCATGCATGGTTGCCTTTTCCTGTATGGATGGATGTCTTTTACATGATTCTTCTGAATCATAGTTAAACCCTGTAATGTAATCATATGAGTAAGGCATTAATTTTGGGTTTATCAAGTTTGTGAAGATTAGTAATGGTTCAGTTTCCAATTTTCCTTTTTAACATAATCTCTGTGACTGTTAAGAATGAGGATGTGGGTGAATTTCTAACCTATTAGCCAAAGATTATTTAGGAGACATGATCATGTGCTTCCTCCACATGCCATGTGCTTTGACATCAGTTCTAAGTTATTTCATGAGTTTATTATAGTATTGCACATAAGAGACTTGGGAAAAGAAAAACCATCCGTACCATATGAAGTATTAATAAGTTGGGCAACTTCTTAACTTGAATGGATTAGTGTTTTTTATAAGATGAAACTACACTAGGTGGAATAAGGAGGTGCAATTGAACTCTTCTGCAAGGTTATTTGTTTTCCGCATTTATAAATCTGCTGTTGGTAACTGGCTTAAGGAACCTTTAGCTTTTTTGTGGTCACTTTCCTTGCTATCATGGTTACCACAAATCAGAGGTTGAATCTGGTAAGAATATTAGTTAGTTGCTGCTCAGTCATTCCTAGTTGTGTTCTCGTACTGTTGTCTCTATGAGTTATTTTATTTTAGGTGCTTCTATCACCACATAAGTTACTTGCAATCAGATGTGTGGCATTGAAAGTTTGGAACAACTTCATTAATATGGTAAAAGGTTTTTATGTGATTTCTAGTTTACAAGTTAGATCGAGGAATGATGAGATATGTGGCATGGATAAAATTTGGTATAGATCAAAGATTTTTAATCTATTTGTCCTTCCCCCAGTCTGGCTAGTTTACAAGGTTTACAGAGGGGAGCTGTAATCCTTGTTTTTGATGGCTCAAGAGGGATTCATGATTTGAAAATCGGTTTTACTTTTAATGAACTTCATTGTAGGGTTTGTAGGGGATACTGCTACATGAAACTGTAAGTCATTAAGATGGGTCTGTGTCTGCTGCTAGATGTCTCAATTTACATTTTCAGTGTCACAACATTGACTTCATTAATAGTTATCCAATTGATT